AGGGCCTGGCTTGGGTTGTCCGAAGCCCGAGCCAGGCCCTGCAGGCCCGGGGCTTTGTGGCACTGGCTAAATGAGCTGAACCAGACTTCAAATCACAGGTAAGTCACACCATACCTGTTGTGGATTTAACCTCATGCATTCTATCCCTATACGGGGCTGTTCTAATGGCTTACGGTACCCACACATATTTAAGAATTGCGGGTTTGAGGCACATCGGTAACCTATACACAGTCCGGTGAGCATGTTGTGCTCTTCAGATGTATATAGGATCACTAACCTTGTACATAGTGGCCATTAGATGAAGTAGGGTGTGTAATCCCGTACTTAGTACGTCTCCAGTACCCGTTCCTTCTCCAAGCATGGAAGCCCTGGCCTGAGCCGGAGCCAGGCCCGAGCCAGGCCAAAGCCAGACGCTAGGGCCTGGCTTGACTTGGTGACAGGCCCGAGCCAGCTCAAGCCAGGCCAAAGCCCGGGGCTCCGAGCCAAGCCAGGCCCTGCACATCACTACTGCCGAGTACACTGGGACCTCCCACAACCACAAGATCCAGCATCTAGGCGAACACAAGTATTGGTTAAGCATGGACTACTGCCACATGCCAAACATCCTCATGTTGGATGAAGTTCATGCCAGACAGAGATATTGGTATGACATGTAAGGTCCACGATCACGATCACGCTGTCATGTCTTGCAGCAATCGACCCTTTTCTTCATAACGGAACTGAACTGAAGAGACAATCTACAACGACAACCAGGAATGTTCCTATGGCTAGATGGATCCACCCCCATTCACACGACCCACTAGGCGAACTTCAAGCGAATCGTGAAGCCACAGATTATGTTCCTGCTCGGACTTGAGTGCTGTAGCTGACTTGACCTAACGAACTATACTCACTTTGTAAGAGGCGTCATACTTGGCAACATCAAATCCCTCCCCGAAGGAAAGGTCAAAAGAGTTTAGTAAGCCGGCAGTAAAAAGCCTGGAGCATATCATTACCGGATTGTGAAACGCGAAAAGAGAACCTACTTCATATTCTGCAAAGCCACCTGCTTTCCAATACAAACACCAGAGCCATAGCTAAATGGGACATACGCGTCCCTGCTATGCGGCTGGATGTTGGAAGACTGGAGCCATCGCTCCGGAATGAATTCATCGGGTCGAGCGAAATTGTTGCCTGGGTCAATGGTCAGCGATGCATAAAGTGCGGAATACCTTACATACGGTCCCGGTGCAGTGTAAATATCGGGCACGCGACAGTTGTGTGTGGAGGGATAAACCTGCCCAGGACTTCGCACCCATGATCTCCGCTGTAGCGAGGGGGACCTGCTGGCACAGGAGGAACGAGTCGCAATGCCTCTTGCACGCACGCATCGAGGTAGGGGAGTCTTGTGAGGGTTGCGGCGTCTACATCTACAGTTCCTCCGTCCGTTGCTTCACTGATTTCTGCACGGAGTTGATTCATGGCATCCCCATTCCCAATTATGTACCGAAGCAGCGCCATTAAGGCCTGCGCGATGGTATCAGAGCCTGCAACAACAATGAAGGACGCATCTGCCGAAGCTTCCTTTGCGCTAAGATGATATCCACCGGACTCCTCGTCTTGCTGAATAAGTGTAACATTCATTAGGATGTGCAAACATCATCCGCCAGCAGACAAATGCTTACTATAATCCCTAGAATGTCCTTCTTCATGCCTGCCGACTTGGCTTTTGTTTCTTTGACTTTCTCTCCCGAAAACTGGAAAAATGAGTTCCAGAGGGCAGAACTCAGGAAGGATCACACATGCCTTTTGGAATGTTATTATTGGCCCTGGTTGGGGAAGAAGGGCAATGACGTCCTTCATCCACGGCACCTGTCCGAGGACTGATCCACATGTCAACTAACTGATAGCTTGATTAGTTGGTTCAAGAATCATACATACTTCCTACAAAGAGTACACCCATTGATAGCTGCAAGCAGTTATAAGTAGTTGATACATTTAGGACGCCCCCAGCTTACCACTTCCATCCATCCTTCACTGTCGCGGCCGGCAGCCATCGTCTCGAAACCACCGGAGAAGGCCATATCACCCATTACATCCCTACCAGCAAAGATTTAGATCAGCGTGGCTGCTATACGTTCACGATAAACTTGATCTCACATCGCCCACAGTGAGATCCAGTGCGAGAGCGATATATTCTTGCCATTCACTGCTTTCTGTTTGAGGATATCGACCAGTTGATCAAGACGAGTCTAGTTTGTGGTGAGGCTCAAGGAGAAAGGATTACGTGATAGAGCTTCACCTGGGCAAAGCCTCGGTATATCTGCACCATTTCATTGCTAAACGCCTTGTTCCATGCCTGTTAAATGAATCCGGTCGGCTGTCAGTATAGGAACCAGTTGGCTCGTCTTAAAACTAACGACAAGTCTTCGTGCATGTTCATCACGGTCAGTAGTTGTAATCAGAGCATCTGCGTCCTGAGGTGCTCCTATAGGCCATGATAATCAGATCGGAGTCTTCAATGCGGAGCAAGTGCAACAGCATCACCTTGGTAAAACGGAGCTCTAAACATTTGACTGTAAATCGGTTTAATTGCATCCGGGACGTTAACAGAAATCTCATTGGGACCTGAATCAGCATTTAGAGTGTTTGAGGGAGTTAGGAAGGCTAAATTCTACCTATCCGGACCCAAGGTCCGTATGTACCATGCAGTCTGGAGAGATGTCAGCTGCCGAACGAGACATAGTTCATTCAAACTCACTCCTGCAATTTTAGGTGGCGATTTCCTTTGGCAATCCAGATTGCCATCCACCATTTTGTAATCTTAGCTGAAGTCGGGCCGGGGTACTTTGCGAGCGGGTGCCATGGACTCAGCCGATATAGCACGACTGTTCCAGCCAGAGAGAGGAGAAACGATAGGAATGCCTCAATTGTATGGTACACGGCGGTCTTGACCTCTGTACCGACAACGGCCCAGGAGGCTAGGATGATCATCACCCCCGACAAGACGAGGGTTATGACGAATGCAGGTACGGTCGGCTCGGCGCGTCGTATAATCGGGTGAGAGGACTGCGAGTACTTAGAACGACTATCTTGTACAAGAAAGGACGACATTACTCACTATGCCGGCGATGCAGGCGTAAAGAGCTAGTTTGGAGAGCACCATCTTGGGTTGAGCTAGCGAGGTGGACGGCAACCTGTAGGCGCTACTAGTGCTGTCGACACCAGTGAGGAACAGAAGCACAGTGTTCCCAGGCGCTAAAGATAATTTTATGCTCAGTAGATCCGGCTGAGCTTCACTCTTCACTGAATCCTCATGATGTGCATCTATGATATCGCACGAAGACGACTTTCTTGCCTTTCCTGTGCGGGGAAGTTGTAAGTTGAATCTCCATTCAATAGCTGGATTGAAATTGGCCGTATCCGATATGCCCGCGAACTCACACTGAGGCCGATCACTGCAGTATAGACACAGCCTCTCATTGAACAAGAAGCAGAGCGAGCATGTGAGAGCATGTGAGAGCATGTGAGCTTTTGCGTGCTTCTTACCTGAAGTGTGACAGTTCAACGTTCAAGTACTTACGGTCGTACGAATCCGATGGGCCCAGACATAGCCAATGAAGAAGAAAGGTACTTGGGCGGCAGCGGCGTCAGGACCCATCTAATTACTCAGAGAGGTACCCATTCGAACCAGCTGAGCCCTACTGTCAGTCCGTTGTGCTGCCGTACCGGGCACGGTGGCGACATGTAATGCGCTGCAACATTTTAGTCTGCTTTCGTGTGATTCGTAGACTCAGACCCAAACGTGAGGAATACCCCCCTTTTCTCCTGTTGTGTCTTTGCGAGGGAGCATTGATGTTACCGAGCGCAACTACGCTCAGCTAGCTCCCTACCGTCCGTTAGACGGGTGGCCCGGAAATAGTCGCAAGCATGTAAACCTGTACCTCCGGGCGAAATGACATTGTGGCGTTATTTTGCCTATATGAATGGTCAGGACGCGGATATCAATCAATGCTTTTACATCGGAACAGCCTCACGGCGAGCGACTGATACGTGACATCCGAAGTCTTGCAATACTCAGGCTGGTCACCCTTCACTGCAATATCAATGTAATATTCCGGCCTCTCAGGCTAGTACGTTTCGACTGGTATTCGATGTTTCATCCGGCCGATATACTGATGCTTGACATGCCATGCGTGAACACAATCATGGACACACGACTCGGATATCTACCGAGATGTGATGTCCGAGTCTCGCTCCTTCTCTCAACTATAAAAGCAGAGTATCATCCAATTCAGGTATCTCGCTCAGGCTGCAAATCCTCTCCGCTCCAGACTGGTTTACTTCCCCACGTTGAGACTATGTCTGAAGGTTTAACCGATCTAGTCGCCACTATTCAAGACCTACGCGCAACGAAGGCAAGCTAATTGACCCATGCCAATGCAGTGCATGCTCATATTGGCCTGGGATAGTATACATATGGTCAGTAAGAATGATATAGTCTTCCCAGGCCGCACTCATGAAGTTTTTATCAGTTGCTTCGGTCACAATTCTCTTAATGGATCTCATGCTGACATTCGATGAGGAGGTTCGTCCAACAACGCTGCTCTATGCACTCTTAGTGCAACTTAGGTATTGTCAGGTGGCACGTGTGTGGACTGCTAGGGCATCCTTCGGGAAATATCTTTTCCTATTTGTGAGGAACCTTGGTACCGTTATTACTCCACATTGTGCCCTGATCACTCCACCATGATAGAACCGATATGTTCCCTTTGCCCTCTTTGGATTCGACTTGGTTTGTATGTTGGTCGCTTTGTTTCCACCGGGTTGTTACTCAGCATGCCAATCAACAGATCAACTCCATCCAGCCCTTGCCCCACGCGTAAGCCATTCACAGCTCCTATATTTTGTCTGGTACCCTAACTATGCCTCACAATGTAGTTGTATGATGTTCTTCTTGATTTATGATATAACAGCTGACAACTACCAGTTGTACTCAAGCATTTTTGGCACCTAACATCCTTGGTATTATCACTCTGGGAACTGTGGAATGTATGTAATTCTGACTTCTGCTGGTATAATAGCATTTATCCTGTCTGCCCAGATGTCTTGGTCCTCAGGACTTATGCTCTGTATCGGAACAATCTCATGTTGCTCTTCATCCTGACTTTTCTGTCTGTGGTAAGTCTCATAGTGCTTCAACAAATCAGATTCTGCTTATGGTTCCAAAGTCAGCCACAGCAACAATGATAGCAACAACTGTATGGCTTTACAAGCACCTTGTACAATGTCAGTCTCCATCCTTTTGTGCAGATTGAAAGTGTTCTCATCTGACAATGACCACCTAGTTGTACCAAATGAGCTGCCTGGCGTGATGGTTGGTTGTACCCCGGAGTGCACAGATCCAATATGCCGCAGACTGCTGACAGCCTTCTGGATCCCCTTCTTTGTTTGTGAAACAAGTATGTTTTTACTCTTCTGGTTTATGCCCTATACTGAATGCTGTTATCCCTTGCCAGCAATATTCAGTCTAACAGTACTGAAGGCTGTCAGAAACTGTGAGTCCTCAGCAGCTCAAGTGATGCCAGAGCTACAGTTGTTGCACATGTCCACTAGCCTCTGGCTTTCTCTACAGTACTTCCTTTGTGAAGGTGTTGTATCGTGATGGTTTGTACTTCATGCATTACCAGCATACACCTGCAATTGCTAAACCATGATACTCACATAGGCTTCATATACTACATTGGTGAGTGCTGGTGAAACTCATGGCAATACCTTCCTTACACTGGCTGTATCCGAAGTCATTATGTGTATGTGCCTCAAAGAACTATGTTCACATTCACCCTCCTGACAGCTTCCCACAGCAATCTCCCTGTGCAACTTACTTATCTGGATTCTGGCACCAATATCTCTAGTGTATGTTGCTACAAGGTATTGTCACATACCCAAGCCATGCTACCCACCAGACTGACTACAATATTAGCTTGATGCGCTGCCTTCAAATTGTAGTGTGCTCCAGGTCAGCATTTATTGTTTGCTCTCATCCTTGACAAGCACTGTCATTCATACACTGTAGGCTTCTACTCAACATCAGAGGCATGTTGGAACCAAAGGGCACCACAACGGACTATGAAATGAGCATGCTGGCTTTCAATGTTAATCCTCCTAGGCCAAACAGTAGTATGAATACCACAGTCCTCTCAGAAGAAGTGAGCACCTCTAATATTGATGGCAAAGATTGGCACTTATGGCTCCATGATACTTCAGGGTGTTGCATGACTGATATTGAGTAGACATTCTTGACACTGTTAACGAATGTGGTAATATGTGGTGCACCACCAGCAAAATTTCCCGTAACTGGTATCTGAATATAGCTAGCATATAATCAATCAAAATAAGTACCAGTATTACAATATGTACCAGACTTGTGGATGGCTAGGCCAGCAATTACATTTGGATGGCACATGTTGTAAGACTCACGCAAGAAGTACAATATGCACCAGACTTACACATATTACAAGCTCAGGCCAGCTTGCTTTGACCCATAATCATACTATCAGCTGTGCTTTGCTTGATATTCTACGTCCCTGGAATGAAATAGAGGCTCAGGGCATTGGCTGATGAACACAGTAAAGAGCATATGATTGCTCACACTAGCTACTAGACAGGATTTGCTATGCCTAGATGTTCAAATACTACCCAGTGATTGACCCCTGCCCTAAAGCCATATCACTACAACAAACTGCATCAGTGTATATCAAAAGGCATAAAGTTAGGGACATACCTAGTGCACTAGTCATCCTGTATGCATAGAACCCGGCAGCAGTAGCATGATCAAATCTGCAAAACAAATCAGAACACTCAGTCATGTCACTAACTGTGAGGGACTCACCTAGCAAGCAAGACCCAGACTTTTCATTCCTCCAACAATCTAAGAACCTCTATGAATATGTGCACACAGTATGGCACAGAAATGGCTTACCTGCAACAGAGACATGTCGAGATGCAATGAGGGCTGCTTCTAGGTCACGTCAACCCAGCCATACATGTGCTGTAGGAAGGTACTCAGGGGGAGCTTGGCAACAGGTTTACAAGAAAACTTACCTGCGGAGAGTTACAGAGGATGAGGTAGGCACCAGTGTTAGGACTTAGCCATGTGAGAGCTGTAGAGAGGACTTATTCGTGATACGAGGGAGAGAGGGGAAGGGCAACAAAGTTGAACTGCAACACACTTTTAAGTCAAGTTCAAAGTCCAACATGTTGAACTTAGCACGTGAGGCAACGCACATCAGTCAGGTGCCAGTGGTTGCTTTGTTGCTAAGAGTATATATATATATAGAATGATAAGATAGTCCTCGGGTAAGTGTATGTCACCAGGCGGTTAGCTTGTCATAAATACAAGTCTGGTATTCGGCTGGTAATGTGATTGTAGACATGCTAAAATAACTGGAATATGCACCAGCCACTACTAGCCATGGACGATTTGCTGATGACTGGGACTGTACAGGCACAAGACTGAAGTATCATTACCCCACCCCACTTCACATTGAGAAGGTTCCACAGCTGCAAATTACACATACATGTGTTTGCCACCATGTTGTAGAACATACTAACTTCTTGTCTTTTCAAGCATGATATTGTATTGTATTCAGGTATCTGTGGGACCATGGCACAGCATTCTGTAATTACATGAAGGTTGCTTAGGTCCCCTTTCCCGCGGCTCGCTATTGATATGTGAGGAAAAAAAAAGAAAAAGAAAAATCATGGTTGGCCCAGAGAGCCATGTGGCAGTGCCCATGTCTGGCTACTGTGGCTGATGCTCTTGCTGCCACAGACCCTTCAGGGCATCTGGTACCCCTTGTGGTGCCCTTCCAATGCCAATAAATTCATTGTGCACTTGGAGGGTAGTTTGGAATAGCTATGCTGTACAGTTTTGAAAACATACAGCACAAAAGCCAATTTTGTCATCTGAGCCTTTGGCTGGGTAGTCAATTCATCAAACAGCTGCATGGCATTTAGATGACAAGCATTATTACTTGCAATTAAGGCATTGTCTGTCACTTAATGATTTGAATTTTATCAGACCAAAAGGTGACACCTTTGGGACATGTAGAATTTAAAAATTTCCCCCAGTCAAAGACCAGGCTGGGGACTGGCCAAACACAG